TGTGTAAAGTGACTAATTAAAAAAAAATATAGATGAATAAAAGACCCTGCAAAAGAAGAATGCTTTACTTGTCTATACAGTGCATCTACAGCTGTTATTTTTCACATCTGACGCACTTCTGAGTGCTGTGGATGCCTCTTTCCTCAACGATGCTCTGGGGGTTCCACAGACCCCTACATCAATACCGGAACACAACAATCGGCAGATAGAATTACAACGCCTGTACTTGCATTTGCTGGGATACCTTCATCAGTACCGACCCCCCCACCCCCTTCCGTCTCAAAACTCCTCTGTAAGTTTGGCACTCTACAGTCTCTAATGATGTCAAGCCCCCATGCCTTAAACTAACTCTCAAACTTTGCAAGTAGATGGGCTATGTATAGCAGTAGAGACAGACCTTTTCTCTTATTTTAAACATTAGTTAAAATACATTTTGGTTGCATTTGTTTGCAGACAAATTGTGGCAGGACCACAAATGCAAGGGCACCTACATAGTGCTGTGTGGTTTGTAAATACTTGTGAACCACTACTGGAAAATGAATATGAACTACTGGTTTGAGAACAAAGATTACCTGGAAGCTACCCTGGCAGGAACCTGTCATGAGTACATATTGTGGGGATGTGACAAGGAGAACTTTTGTTCAGATGGAGTGCTATTGTTAAAATGGACATTGCACATAAATGGCAAGGTCTGCTGTTTGCTTGCCCCACCCCTTGCTGAAATGCAGGATAAAAGTTTACAAAAATACCTGCAAAGGAAAAAAAAAGTTAAATTCACCTTTCCCCTGGCGCCTAGTCATGGGTGACCTCATCTTCCTTCCAGCAAAATCTGGGAAATATAGGTTAGCCCAAATCTCATTGGGAAGATGCTTCCAGCACTTCATTTTCCGAGTTCCTGTCAGAGGATGATGATGCACTACAGAAGGTAAAAAGGTAGTATAATGTATATATTTGTTTTTCTTTACTGTTTTTTTTTAAAATTGTATTTAGTGTTTCAGCTTAAAAAGCTGTGTGTAGTGCAAAATCTTGTACGCAGCCACAACCTAATGAATGCAAGTGATGCTTGAATTGGTCACATTGCTTGCTGAAGCCATACAGCTATGATGGTGTACACCAAAGAAATTTGAGATTTGATTGGCTGCTATTTGGTTTCAACATTTGCTCTTTGTCTTGTCGAGTAAACACTGAAATGTCCAGTGTGGCTCTCCAGCTCCTCTGTGGACCATGGGAGCAAAAACTGTATTTCACGGTATGACATTGTAATAACGATGAACATGCATTATTTAATTTAACCTACTTGTGGCCCTTCCCACAGCCAGACGTTGGACAGCAGTGCTTTCTTACCAGTCTGTCATCTTAATGCACAGTGACATTTTGTTGTAAGATTGTGTGTGAAGGCTTTGAATTGTTACAGCGGTACAGTGTGAATAATTCAGGAAGACAGCTGTTTATGGTCCTTTATAACAAACAATGCAAAATCATTGTTCCACATTAATTAGGACTGAACACCTCTACTTGGCCCCTGCTGACCTTGCTTATAATAATGTTCTTTGCTTCTCAGTGATTTACCTTTTTTGACACACAGCCGCATTCCATGTTTTCTGAGCCTTCGCTTTCATCAGTGTGTAGGCACGCTGGAGATTTCCTCTGACATCAGATGAGCATAGTCTCCAGCTCAAAGGCCAGCTAGTTATCCACTGCTGCATTCAAATAATGACTAGGATCTATATTAGGGAGATCGCGCTGGCGATGGCTCCTCCAGTCAACGATTACATGTTCATTTATGAGAGATTTTTGTAATTGCAATAGCAATAGAGAGATATAGACAAGTAAAAAAATAAAATATATATATACATTTTTTTAAGATGTAGATTATATTTGCAGAAAAGCCAGCCCAACTGATGATGTTCCTTACATTTGCTAATGATTCATTAAAGCATGATTTGTAATGATTGGTGCACTTCAAGATGTTCAAGTCAAAAACAGAAAAAAGAAAAACTATAAGTACTTGTGTAATTACTTCAACTGGTACAAACATTGAAATGTGGTTGTTAAACTTACACCATTTTTAATAATAACTGCAAATTCCTGAAGGCAAAATGTATATACATTCCTAAAAATAAATATATATATTTATAAATCCAAGCTAGATATAGAGGCACTCAGGGTCTTGCAGCAAAGATAAGTTAAAGCATCAGCATTTTATTGTTATCATTTTGATGGCGCTCAGTCCATCTTTCTCAATGCACCTTGAGAAGGATGGACTGAGCTCCATTGAAACGTTGACAATAAAATGCTGATGTTTTGACTTATATGCAAGACCCTTAGTGCCTCTATAGCTACCTTAGATTTAAATTTTTGTGGATGTGCACCCAGGCACCTCAGTATCTTGATAGTTTGCATTAGGGATGTCCAAATACCAGTGCCGATACTTGGCATTTTCACACGAACTAACAGGGTTGCAGCTGGGGCCTGGTTCTGGCGCTCCACCACTTTCCTTAAAATCATTAGTCTGTATTGTTTTAGAAAACATGACAATAAACAAAAATGTACCAGTACTTGTATCTGTGAGTACCTTGACAAGTATCAGTACTTGTACTTGGAAAAATGGTATTGGTGCGTCCCCAATATATATTTATAAACAAAAAAAAATTATGCATTAAAATGGGGATGTACAAATCTCAGGAGCTCCATATGCTCCTTAAAAATGACAGCTGCCTCCTAACTTTTGAATTTTTCTCTAGTCTAGTCCTGGAGCTGGAAAAGTATTACTTATACTTGGACCGAGTATGGTACTTGCTATTTGAACATCCCTAGTTTGCATTATAATTGTTTTTTTTTTTACATTTAAAGGGTTATATTTTTTGCCACTTTTTGGCAAATTCTGCTTAATCAATTGAAATTCAAGCCTTCAGTGGTCTTGTTGATGCCACCCAATTCAACAAACCGCAACTCTAAAATTAAAGGGGCCTGATGGAAAATTGCCAGTCAGATGCAGTCACTGTTCGGGTATTCAAAGAACCACAGGCAGGCTGTCTGAATAGAATAGCCAGCAGGGAGATTCTGCCAACCATCCCGTTTAGCCCCCGGGGCTGTAGGAGATAAATCTAAGCATGTATGGCTAGCATTACTTAGATATTGCTTGTTTTTCACTCTGTGTCTTATTGCATTATTTTCCATTACTTTTCACTCTAAGCTCACAAAGCACAAAGCTGTCTTTCTTCTGTTTTCCAGGTATTTATAATCGCCACTGATAAGCAGAAGTGAAAGACCTTTGTTGCTGTGCTCTACATTGGGCCTAATTAGAAGTTATGATAATAACATCCATTACCTGGTTGTAATATTTTCTTTTCTTGTGTAGCCAGTCCTCTCCATCATTCACACCTACTGTATTGTTGCTTTAGGCAAGAGAATATGATTAAAGCCTAATTGGAGCCAAAACCTTTTTTCGTTTTGGATACAGTACATGTGTTGGGGCCTGTGTTGGGTTTTTATCCCGGTCTGTGTCTCCTTTGGAGAGATTTCACCTCACCTGTTAGAGTGGACCTTTAATCGCATCAGCTCTACATGCTGATATGAAATTATCTTGCATTCATTAGTTAAATAAACATATTTTGCTTTTACTTATTATTTGTTTCTCCACTTCCTGGTCCTCTTGGGCATTAGTAATGTATCCTGTGCCGTAGAGATATATATCCTGGGAAGGTTATATCACAGTGCATTGCTAGGAAATCTCATCTGTAAACTGCAAAACCTCAAAGGCATTTTTTCCCCTCCTAAATTATGTGCATGGTCACATGTCCTAATTATATGTGCCAGAGTTCCAGGAAGTAAAGGGAGGTATATTAATCTGCCCTCAGTTAAAATGGCCACTGTGAGAAGAATGGGGAGTAAAAGGAAAATAAGGTATGCAAACCTCTGTGCCCACCTCTTTTTCTGTGAGGTTTTTACTGCTGTTGGTATCCTCATTAGAAATATTTAATCTCACTTTCTGTCCTTGGGGCAACAGGAAGTGAGAGGAAATTTACCCCTAGGAAAAGAAATTCACTACTATAAGAGTGATCGTGGGAAAAAGGTTTCTCCACTGAAGCTTTATCACCAATCCTTGTTTCCACGACAACATACATTTTCAAAATCCAATTGTAACAGGGACAGAAAGTGAGGTGAAATCATCTGAACAGGGCACACACAGCAAAACAAACTTTACAGAGGGTTAACCCTTCCCTATGCTATCCAAAACCCCCAAAAATTTTGCACTTAAAAATATGTACCTGTTCCAACTTACATACAAATTCAACTTAAGAACAAACCTACAGACCCTATCTTGTTCGTAACCCGGGGACTGCCTGTAGATGAAATATGTGTGCTTGGGTTTAGATACACAGTAAAGTCATTGTTTGTGTATGTGTTGCATGAAACTGTGTAGCCACAAATCGTTAGGGCATGGCAGAAACTGAAGCGTCTTTTTACGTAATTTAAAATTCTGCTTTGCCAGAAGGCCATTGTGCTGCTCTTGTAAAGTATAAACCTATTTGGGTTAATTTTATTGATAGTTTGGCCTCTGGGTGCAGGTTCCCAGTTTTCTGGGAACTGTCACAGACACGCTCCGCAGGGCTTTAGGGTCCTTAACTTGCTGTATCTCGTCAGCCATTATTTCCTGATCACTGATCTTTCTGTCTCTTTCTTGTCACTTATTCCCGTTCTCTGTCTCTTGTGGACTAATACATGCACTCTGTTGCACTCTGTGCTTTGACCACACCCACTCCCTTGTTTCTGTGGCCTTATGTCCCCTGTGGTGGTGTCCGTGATGTGCACCCTCCAGGCTAGCCTTGGATGACGTCATCCGCCACAAGCAGCTCAACCTATCATCCCGTTTTTCATCCAGGGTGGCAGGGGAGAATGATTTCCTGCAGACGGTCATCAACAAAGTAATCGCCGCCAAGGAGGTTAACCACAAAGGTCAAGGTATGTGCTTTCATGCAATATTAACATTGTGACCCAGCTGCCGCAAGACATCTCTCTGCTGCTTTGTAATTATAATATCACTGTACCAAGTTGAGGGTTTTTATTTTAATGAAAATTAATAATTGCATTCTAGAATGAGCAGCAGATAATTTCTCACCTCCGCAGGAGACATGCATCCAGTTGATCTGTTAGAATAAATTTCATTATCATATAAACTGCATAAGTTTTCATGTGCTTTGTCCAAACACAATTTTTCATGTTTCTTGGTTTTATTACAGCATTGCTGAAAGACATATTGAGCTTTTTGAGTTAAAGCAAATCTTTGATTAAGGAACATTTGCAGCTGACTTTGGTTAAAATAAACCTTATTTACAGCTGCTCATACATGGTGCTTTAAGGGCCGCATAGTTCATCCAGGACATGGCGGTGTGGCTCTGTCTGTAGCAGACTTGAGCTGGCGGCTTGGCCTGTAGTAGAGCTGCAGTTAATTTTGTTTTCCAAGGTGATGCCAAATCTAAATGAACTTTCAGTTTATTTAAAGGGCATTGAATGTACAAGTTCTATTTCACACTGTTGGTGCATGCTTTTGTTAAAATGCAGTGTAGTA